CCTTTCAGAGGAGCAGCCAAGGAGCTCCCACAAAAGTTCTGGCTATGAGGGGCTGCCCTTCACGGGGCTCCTGGCAGGTGGCTTGTGGTGGCATTCCAGAAGCCCCCAGATGTTCACGGATCCTGGCCCATGGGGAGCTTGCTGCCCCTGCTAGCCAGGCTGGATGCCAAAGCCGTCCACGGATCTGCTCAGTCCCAGGGGAGCCTGGGCTGGTGGAGCTGGGATCCCCAGGGCCAAGGAAAGGGGAGGGGCCCACTTCAGGCCTGGAAAAACAGGTGATTTTCAGGTGTGGTGCAGAAGGTGAGATGGCTATTCAGGAGCCGGCATGCCAGAAAGATGGCAGGGAAGCAGCCTCCAAGCAGCATTTGATTTTGCAGGAGGTTCAGCCTCCCTGATGATTGCTTTCTGCTGGAAGGTTTCCTTGGAAACTGCCACAGACGATACAGGCCCCGCAGGCTTTGTCACGGCTCTGCTGACGGCTTTCTTTCTTTCGGCTGTGGCTTCCCCAGCTGCCATTGGTGGAGGGTGGGCTGCAGAGGGCCCCAAAACAGCCAGAGAAGGAAAGCTTGATCCCAGAGCTTGAATGGATGACTGTGGGTGCCCAAGAGGTCAGAGGAAGGACCTCTGCCCACATCCCAGCTGGCCCCAACTCAGAGCCTGGAGTACAGGGAGCAGAGCTTCCCTTTTTCTTTTCCTTGCTGGGTCCTTTGATTCCCTTTGCGGTTTGGCCTGCGTTGCTTCCAGCTGGAATTCAGTCCAGGCCAGGTCCAGTTGAAGGCAGGGACAGTGTTCATTATAGCTGCACTGCAAATATCGGCCTCTCCGCCCTGCAGGTTTACTGGTTGCTAGTGATGCCAGTCAGCAGCAGAGCTGGCGGGTGGGGGCTGGGGGGCTGCAGTGTGAAGGTCTAGGCTGGGACTGGGAGACCCATGTGGACCCATCCCCCTCAGCTCCAGGAGCTCAAAGCCTGGGGGGCTTTGAGTGGTCCCCCTCTCCAGCCCAGGAGCCACGGTGGGTGGGCACAGTAGGAAGGGATGGACAGATGGAGGCCCACTAGTATATTTTTCTCTTGGCCAACCTACCTCATGGTGGGGAGCGGGTATGGTAAGAAAAAATGGGAGGAGGGAGAGCGCACTATGGACACAGTTGAATCCCAGCTCTGGAGGATGGGGAAATGAATAATCACAATAAATCAAAGAAATAATAAACAAAATAGTCTGAGTATCAGATGAAATGTTACTAATAGGACAGCGGTGGAACAAAAAGCACCCCAGAACTCTTAAGCCACAAACAGACTTGGCACATATTCTGGTGTGAGCCTTCCGCGATTCCCTGCTGGGGGGCCCAGGGGCCACATCTGGAGTGGGCAGCATGCAGGACTCTTGCTTCAAAGTTCTTGTTTCCAAACGAGTTCAGAGAATTCCCCAGAAGTTCGTAAAGTGCAGACTTGGGTGGCATATGGAAATACATGGTCCACCTCTCCCAATAAAATCACTTTCAAAAATGTTGTTATTTTGATTTTCTCCTCCAGATTCTTCAGAAGGGCCCAAAGCCAGCAAACTGGTGAGTAGTTTATTTCTGCCATGTCATCGTTTGAGGTCCCCTGTACCTGTCTGATGTTCATTGCAAGAGAAAAGTGTGGCCAGACCCCTTTCCCACGAGACATTTTGCAATTATTTTGGGGTGGTGGTGCCTGCTTTACATAAGACAACCGTAACCCTGACCCTTTTCGTAACCACCTAAAACACACCACCTCTGCCCCATGTGCTCAGCTCGAAAGGGGCAGCAGCTGATTCCCCATCAGCCCTGGATGAAAAGGTCTGAGAATTCGGAAGGTCTCTTCCCGTGAGCTCGAAGCGAAGCCCTTCTGGGTCGTCTTGCAGCCACTCGCTTGTCTTCTTGTGCTGACCAAGAGGCCTGAAGGGGCTTCTTCCTCCAGGTCCCCCCAAATGAAGCCTTCCAGTGGGCCGGAGGGCTCTTCCCTCTTAACCTTTTCTGATTCCTTCGGCACGTAAAAGAATTCTGACTTTGGAAGGGTTAGAGTTTTCTTCTACTTTTATATTTTTATGGCTTTATCCATCCTTGTAAACTGTCCATGGGATGAAATAGGAAACTGGCCCCCTCCATCTCAAGGTCCGGCTCAGCTGTTTTCTTTGTTCCTTTGCTTCTTCTGTCCATCGAATGGCCTCTCCATTTGGTCCTCCGTCCAGTCCATCCTCAAGCCAAGCTGGTTCTCTCCGTTTAGTGCTGCAGGGAGACAGCTGCTCCTCTGGGCCTTCTTCGGAGCTGGTTCCCCCCCCCCCCACTTCTGCAGCCCCGCCTCGGTGGCCTCTTCTCTTGGTTCTCTTGGTTCTCTCTACTCCAGCCAGGCCTTTTCCCTTCCTTAAGCCGCTGCCCCATGGCCTCAGCCCCGAAGCTCTTGCCCCCCTGCTCCCAGTTGTCCCCCTCTGAATGAACTGGGCCCAGATCAGTGCTGCGGAAGGGAAGGGACCTGCTTCCTGCCCGCCCTGCAAACAGGTGAGGCAGTGGCTGAGATCCTGAATGCTGGGATCCCTCTGACTGCCTCATGTTGTCCTGGCTCTTGTGCTGTTCTCGATCAGAGCCAGTCAACGTTTGGTGCCTGCCCAGGTCTGAGTGTTTCCCCCCCCCCCCATCCATAACAGGAGCTCCCTCTGGGCCTTTAGCACTTCCCCCACCAGGTGAGGGTTGGGGCCAGTGGTTTCTTTCCCTGCCCTGAACTGGAGGGGCAAATCACGGCCTGGATTGGGGGCTCCCAGTCTTAAGCGGCAGACGGCTCCGTTGGGAGTTGGGGTGGAGCTTGGAAACACAGGTTTCCCAGAAGGGATGACAGCTGTGGCCGTATCCCCTGTGTTCCTGGAGAGCAGCTGCTGTCAGTTAAGCACATTGCTTGTGTTGCACTGGGCTGGGCCTGTGTCTGGAGACAGGCTCTGGTCCCACCATGGACTCCCTGGGCAGGCTTGTGGTGGCGGGGGGAAGAGAGAGAGTTGCCCTCCTGTCATTTCATAGGCCGGCCCATGCGCTGCAGGGCTGGGCTTGCTCCAGGAAATGGATCCGTGCCGAAAGGGCTCCTGAGCCTTCCTGTCCACAGCCTCTCGGTCCTTCCTCCTGGGAAAGAATTGTCTTTGGGAAGCGCTTGTGCCCGTGTCTGCCTGTTGTTCTGCAGTCGCAGAGCATGAATAAAAGAGGGAAACGGGGCAGCAGGACCGTCTCCTCTTTGTGTGGTGTTTGCTCGTGTAAACGGGGCACAGTGGTGACAGAGAAACCGGATGTTTTCAAAAAGCATTTTTATGCGTCCATACAAATAAAAAGTTGAAATAATTTCCCACAAAGCGATCAGGATTTCTGCGGTTTGCCGTATCTTTGGCCCTTTTGGAGTTTCTTTGTTTTGGAGCAAAACTGGAACGTGAGGTTCAGGAAAAGGAAGGAGGGTTGCTGTGTTGTAAAGGAATCCACAAGCACCCAAAACTCTTCACCTTTTGCCTGGCTGATGTTACTCTGCTGGGCTTTAGGTTGTACCGGGTGGGGAGAGGTTGCCCAGCCCATCGCATGGCTACGTCTGACGAGCACTTCTGGCCTTGCTTAATTCTAGGTGGGGGGAGAGGGGAAGCATTTTTGAGTCCCCTGTCCAGAGACGAATTGGGGGCTTTCCTTGCCCTGGAAACTGCAGCTCTCTCTGGCCTGGGGGGGGGGGGGGAAAATGGGGGTCCTGGAAAGGGTTGGTGAACTGCGGCCACTAAAGGGGGCTTCAGCTCCCACTCCTTTCCCTGCTGGCCTTTGATTCTGCACTTGATCTGGGGAGGGGGAGGTGTGGGTGATCCAGGGCAAACGGACTTTTCTTTTGGCTTTCCACGAAACACCCTCAAAGCAGGAACACCTGGAACACCTTTCCGTTCGGAGCCACTGGCTTTCTCCCCCCCCCCCCCATCTAACCTGTCCTTTTGTCCTCTTTCTATGCAGCGCGGAGTGAAACCTAAAAAGGTGGTGCCTCTTTTTTCTCATGCGCATGAAATGGTGGTGCAAAAGGCCACACTCGTGGCTGCCGTGGCCTCAGCTGCTGCATACACGCATGCGTCCCCCTTGCATGGATATTCCCATTAGGGCTCACGAGTGTGACGGGGTCCCTGACTGGCCAAGGGCTCCCTGGAACACCTGGGCACATCCCATCACCAGCTTAACGGTGCCCAGAAAGAGGCTGCTAATTCTCGAGCTGGCTTACTTTGGATTTCTGGCAGTCACAAAGAAAGCTGTAAACCCAGATGCCCCCACTTCCTTCCCCTCCCCTCCCCCCCGCCTGACCTGGCCATGAGCGGAGGGGAAAGAGCGGAGGGGATTGCCCTGCTAATCCCTGCAGCAGTTTGGGGAGAGCAGTGGGATCTTCCCCCTCTTTGTCTGCAGCGGTGGGGGCAGATTTCCCAAGGCAGGAGCTGGGCTGTCTCCCAGGGTCAGAGGCCAGCTGCGGGAGACCGTCTCCCCCTCCACGTGGGCCCTTTAACTGTCTTCTAGAGCAGGGGTCTCCACACATGGCGATTTTAAGACTTGTGGAGTTCAACTCCCAGAATCCATTGCTGCCTGGGATTTAAAGTCAGCAGTCTTAGAAGTTGCTAGGTTTGGAGACCCCTGCCCCAGAGTCTCCCTCCATTGCTCTGCCCAAAGAGCAGTAGGGTGGACAGGCTTTCCACTGCTGGGCTAGGGGCTGGGGGGGGGTGTTAGAGGAGAATTAGGCAAAGGGGCCTGGAGTGCTGTTCACGCTGCCCAGAAAGGAAAGGAACCCTTTGTGGGGGGCGGGGTGTGTGTGTCCGTGCTCTAGATAGTGAAGGAGAAGCGGAGGCTGAGGTCAGGCTTGAGGGGGAGAGCCAGGCTGCTCAGCCCACCCCGGGACAGAAAGTCCTAGCACGTTTCTAAGGTAGAAGCAACAGAAGCAGGCGGCGGAATCCCCCCTCCCTCCTTTGGCCTCCAGCCTGCCCGAAGCGAGGTCCTACCTGTTTCCAGGGGTGGGGGCTCCTTCCTCCTGACCCTGAGACACAAGCTCCGAACCTCAGCGGGGATGTGGGGGGGAAGGGAACCTCCGCCGCTGCCTCCTTCCAGCTCTGCTTCCTTCCCGTCGTTGCATGTGCCTGAGGCCTGGGCTTGCATGCCTTGCTTGTTTGCACCCGCTGCTTGCAGAACCATCCTCCGTCCGTGTGGCTTTGCATGAGTGCCGAATCTGGCCCTGGTTCTGTCAGTGCCTGCCTTATGGAGTGCCTGGCAGACACCCCCCCCCCTCCTGCCAGCGCGCAGTGATGTCTCCCGTGTTTGGCTTCTGGCAACAGGTCTCGGCTTGCCTGGCTGCAGGTGGCTTGGTGCCCTTGAGAGTACAGGGCAGCCCCAGTGGCACCCGGGAGGAAAAGCGAGGCTGGGAGGGGCTCCGGTCTTTGTCCTTCGCCTCAGGGCAAAAGCCCCCCCACAATGTTGTCCAAACCAAGCTGAGTCCAGCTTGCCCCTCAGAAGAGGCGGCTGGGGGGCTCTTGGCAGCCTGTCTCTCTCGGTCCAGGCAAGCTGCTGATTGGATTAGTTGGTACCTCTGGCTGTCCTTCTGGGTGACAGATGGCTGCGGGGAGAGGGGGAGGCCCCTCCCTCCTACCCCCCACTCTGGGCCTGCCATCTGCCTTCCGGTCTGGGAGAGGCGCAGGTGCTGAGGCAGCCCAGGACCCTCCACCCCACCCCAGGGGTATTGCAAGGCCAGAGGAGGGCAGGAGACTGCGCCCTCTCCTTTGCTCCCTCCTCGCTCCTTCTCTGGCCAGGGTCATATTTCTCGGGGGGGGGGCGGTGTCCTTGGGTGTTCAGCCCCAGCCTGCTTGCCCCTGCCTTAAGGGAATCGGGGTGGTGGTGGAGGCTGAAGGGGCGGCCTGGGGAGTGTGACTGATCTTACAAAACGTCAGCCATTTGATCAAAATGCATTCGTTTTCATTCGATCCTGTGGGGTTTTTTTTTTTTTTATAATTTAATTTATATGCCGCCCTTCTCCGGAGACTCAGGGCGGCTTACAGTGCGTTAAGCAATAGCCTTCATCCTTTTGTATATTTATACAAAGTCAGCTTATTGCCCCCACAAACTGGGTCCTCATTTTACCTACCTTAGAAAGGATGGAAGGCTGAGTCAACCTTGAGCCTGGTGAGATTCGAACTTACAGTAATTGCAGGCAGCTGGTATTAATCACAATGCTATCAGTCTGCTGAGCCACCAGGCAGGTTGCCATCATGAGAGGAATCACTAATAAACCTTTGGGTGCAGGAAGGTTGGTTTCAAAGGAGGAACCTTTTGGGGTGCTGTGATCGATCTTGGAGGCCAGGAAGGGGCCTCTGTTGAGTGCCCAGGGGGTTCCTGTGGGGCCCTTGGCTCTTGCCTGTAAGGCCAGGGAAAGAGGCCTGTCTCTCTGCCCTTCTTGGCAGACTGGAGCCATTCGCCTCTGGAAGGGGAGGGGGCCTCTCCAAGAATAAACTGCTTTAGAGCAGACAATGGTTGGCCGTGTCTTTTGGAAATCTCCTCCCACAGCCCCCCCCCCCCCCATGGATTCTTGTGTCATTTCTCCCCCCCACCCCCTTGGTAGCTGCATAGAATGGGCCTTGTTTCTAGGCAGCGGCCTCTCTGGGGAGCAGCCTCCTCGGGGCCTGGCGTCCCCTGCCCTCCCCGGCTCTGCCTGCCGGCTCAGCCTTGGCGGCTGCACTGGCTACCCTGCGGGACCCTCTTGGCTGTGCCTGCCTTGGCTGCTTTCCAGGAGAAGCCCTTCCTCTTTTCGAAAGGAAGGAGGGTTTCATTGATGGTTCATAACGTAGACCCTCTGAATCCCCTTTCTTCTGCAGAAGGACACTAGTCCCTAACATTTGCAAGTGCTGTTAATATAATTAAAAGGCAGGCAGCCCGTAGAGCTGAAGTTGTGCGCTGCTCATGTGCCTTCAGCCGGTCGCAATCCAGCCATGTGACGTGGAAGAGAGCAGGCTCAGTGGAAGGCCATGTTCCCTCTAGGAAAAGCAGGTGGACCTGCTGCAAATCAGATCAAGCAGAGTAGCTTTCATTTCGGCTCCTGAAAGATCTCTGGGAATACGGGCAGCCCTCGACTTACACCGGTCCATATAGTGACCGTTCAAAGTTACAACAGGACTGAAAAAAAGTGACTTATGATCGTTTTTCACACTTATGACCGTTACAGCATCCCCGTGGTCACGTGATCACAATTCAGGCACTTGGCAACTGACTCATATTTGTGACCGTTGCACTGTCCCGGGGGGGGGGTCACGTGATCCCCTTTTGTGACCTTCTGACAAGCCGAGTCAATGGGGGAAGCCAGATTCACTTAACAACCAGTTACTAATTTAAGAACTGCACTGATTTACTTAAGAACTGTGGCAAGAAAGGTCATAAAATGGGGCAAAACTCACTTAAGAAATGTCTTGCTGTCTTGCTTAGCAGCATAAGTTTTGGGCTCAACTGGTCGCAAGTTGAGGACTACTTGTATTCTACAAGTACAAGTAGTACTTGGGGAAGGGGCTTGTGGGAAATACTAAGACACATGTGCTTATCGGATCCAGTTTCTCCTGGCCCAATCATGTAGTCTGTCTCCTTCAAAGACCCCCAGTCCGGCAGACGTCCAGTTTGTCCAGACCAGACCGAGACCTTCTGGTCCGCTTAAGAGCTGTCTTGCTCCCCACCTTAATGGACTCCTAAAGCCTCGAGCAGGGCCTGAATGCAGGGCCAGCTGCACCCTGGGGACCCACCGCAGGAGGGAGGGAGGGAGGGGGCCTCAGGGATAAAACCTGGCAAGTTCCCTCTCTGTGGCCCGTGCCAGCTCATTTCCTCTTGGAGGGCTGTGCAGAGGCTTTGAAGGCGTCAGGAGATGACAGACCAAGACTTTGGGCAGCTGGGACTTCAATGGGGGGAGGGGGGGCTCTTCCTCCCCCCTCCCTTTCCCAGCCCCAGCAAAGGGACGAACACGGCAGAGGCTCCAAATGGAGGAGCAGCATTGGAGGTTCCTGGGCATGAAATGTGTCATTTCACCCTGCCTGGAATTGTTCATTTACTGCCTTTGTTCCCTTGTGGTCAAAGCAGCTCCCTTCCCTTTCGAAACCGTTCCCATCCTCAGCCACACCTGCAGGGAATGGGGAAGGAGTGAGGGAGGGGGGCCCTCTTCTGGGCCAGAAGCAAGGGGCCCCCAGTTCCTTTCTGGAAAGGCCTTGCAATCGGGGGCCTCTTGCTTTGGCTGGCAGCCAGCCAGCCAACTCCCCCATCTAGGCTCTGCCATAAATCCCGAACCCCCTCTGGCTGGGGTGGGCTTCCCAGAGGAAGGAAGAGCGAGGGCAAAGTGGCCACATGCCACTATCTTGGGAGTTTTCCAGTGGCCCTTGATATTCTACCAAGAGCTAGTTACTACTCCAGGTAGGAAGAAAGATGTAGGCTCTTAAGGGGCATCGTCGCAAGCCTTGGTGGTCCTTCTCCTTCCCAGAAGGCCAGGCTCTTGCCTGTGGGAGGGGAACGACCCCATAGAGATGCAGCCTTGGCAGAGTGTGAAGGGAAGAACTCAGGGTAACCCTGGGGGCATTTTTGCACCCACCCTGCAAGGAAGGGGGCTCCAACTTGCTCCTTTGAACCTCTGGAGGGAGGGTTGGTGGGGGAGGGGGAATGGGGAGACAGCCAAACTCCAGGTGCACTTCTCTCCCCACCCTCTCTGGGGAAAGGCGCCTGGCCCATCTCTGGTGCAGCAGCAGCAGCCGCAGCTCTGGACCCAGGAGCCGCCTGCAAGGCCGGGGAAGGGAGGGGAGGGGAGGGCTCTGGCGTGGTGATGTAATCAGCAACCAGGGCGATGGTTGGAGGCTGCTGGTGGAGGGGATGTGCCGCCTGCCCCCGTCCCCCCCCCCCTTGCCCGTGGCTCTGGCTGCTGCTCGGATGCTCCCCAGCTGTCCAGCCCCAGGAATCAGTCTGGGATCCAGGAGGCTCCGGAAGCAAGACGGGGCTGCAGCCATTTGCAGCAGGCTCTCCGGGAGGGGCTGTGGTGTTGTCACTGACTGAATGGTTTAATCTTCTGTCTGCTTTTCTTCTCCCTTCTTCTCCTCTTCTCTGTCTGCTCCTTCCTTCCCTTCTGCAACCATGAAACAGGCTGCCACCACACGGAAGGTACAGTCTAAGGCGGGCGGCTGCTGCTGCTCCTGAGCCTTTTGCCTGACACAGCTGGGGGGGGGGGGGGGGGGGGGGGGGGGTAAACAGGAATGGAGGCGGCGGGAGGGGGGAATGCTTGACTCTGAGGCACCCGGTTGCATTTCGTTCGTTGCCCGTCCTTCGCGTAGGAGTTGGTGGTCTCCTCCTCCTCCTCCTCCTGTTCTTGTTGTTGTTGCCTGCAGCAGCGGGCAGGGCAGTAGTGCAGCGGCCAAGGCCAGGGTGGGCACGAGTGGGCCCATCCTGGGAAAGCTGCATGCCAATTGCCCCCTTTCTCTCTTCTCAAGCCAGGCTCCCCATCAGCCATTTTCCTTCCCATTTCTTCGGCCAGTTGGAGGTCTCTGCTTCTCTGGGGTGCTTTCTTTTTTCCAAGAGGTTGTTTGCTTCACGGCCGGCCCATCCGGACCTCTGAGTCCAGCCCCAGTTACAGATCGAGCGGGTGGGCTTGAGAGTGTGAGGCTCGGGGGCGAGAAGGGGCAAGCTTTTCCTGCATTGCCTCGGCCAAATGACAGGAGTGATGCTTGTGGTGGCCGTGGGAGTCTCTCTGGCTGTTTGGATGTAGTCTGAAGGAAAAGGCTTTCTGGAGGCCGGCTGACCCTCGGGGGCCCCTTAGCCTGAAACCTGCAGCCCTTCTCTAGAACCTGCTAAGAGCTTCGGGAGGGCCTTCCTTTTCTGCTCTCCCGGGAAGTGGAGTGGGTCCAAATGGGTGGAAAGTTACAAAGAGGGCCGCAGAAGGGTTGGGGTGGGGTGGATGGCAGCAGCCGCCTTAAGAGGCAGAGATCAGCCACCGGAAGGATGCTGTGCTGTGCTGTGCTTAGCAGGAACATGGCAGAAGAGAATGAACCGGAGAGGGATGGTGAGGACCAGGTTGCATAGGAACCATGAAATCCTAGGGCTGGAAGGGACTTCATCTAATCCAATCCCCTGCTCAGTTACTTCATTTCGGACGGATGCTCTTCCCCCTCTGTTTGAAGATTTTCACCTGTCTCCGCTCTTATTATGGCTAACTGCTGTTCCTTGCTGGTGCTGAGAGATTTTGCCTTTTTCCTGGCAGAAAGCTCTTGCTGATTCAGGGTCTCCTTCGCTTAAGGAAAGGGAATGTTTGGGAATGTCTCCCAGAGTTTAAGGAGCTTGGCTTTTGTGGTGATGGAGAAACTTCTGCACGCTCAAAATTGTCCCTCGAAATTGGACTTTCTATGAACAGTTCCTGTGTGGAAAGTGAGTGAATGCAGATTGCCCTCATCTAAACAATCAGTCAGTAGAACAACTTGCATCCAGAAGTTGTGAATTTTCCAACACTGGAAGTTTTCAAGAAGAGATTG